ACAATTGGAACTCTGTTAAAATTGTTCCTTTAAAGTGTGAATCATGCTTTCTAGTATTGCAGAACTGAGCTCATACTAGGTGTATCTTATTTTGCTTTTCTGTTAGTGGAACATGATTTTTTATCAAAGGGAAATAGTCTTTTAAGGAAGTTATTGTTTCCTTCCATAGTGGGTGGAATTAGAGTAGACTAAATAAAAGGTTGGTTCATGTAGACAAACATTCAGGGTTTATTTTAAACTTATTTAGAAAATAGCTTAGATATCCATACCTCCTGAACTGCTTTTAAAGGCTAACCATTAATTTTGAGCATTTGGGGAATACATATTGAACCCATATCTCTGGCTTTGTACCTGTCACCTTACTCGCAAGAATTACTTGGGTTGGGTTGGAGGAGGAGGAAGAATGAGAGAGAGTAATAGAGGAGGTGAATTTGATCAGAAGTACATTATATGCATGTCTGATAATATCACAATGAAACCCCTTTGTACAATTTATGCTAATTAAAAAAAGAATTACTTGTTAATATGTCTCTTTCCTCGTGACTGTAAGCTCCTTGAAATGAGAATTACATTGTGCTAAATTCATAGCTGTTTGTTACATGATTTCTTTTTGAGCCAGTGTCACCATATAGCCCATGTTGGCCTGGCACTCACTGTGTAGCCCAGGCTGGCCTCTAATTCTTGATCTTCCTGCCTCCACCTCCCAAGCGCTTGAATTAGAAGTATGTGTTTCCTTCCCCAGCTTGTTGCATGAATTTTTAATGACAGTTTTAGCATAGGGATTTGTGGAAACTTTCCATCTGTATTGTAAGGCAAATGCTGAAGTAACCCTAATTGTTACAAAGAGCATTAGGTAAATTTGGTATTTTTAATTATATTATTTTTTTTATTTAGATGTGTTCACATTATAGAAAATTTAGAAGACAAATGTGTAAATAAAATGTAAATCAATTGTAAACTCCTGTCATGACTACATATCCATGTATTATATTGTTTTAAAATACTCTTCGAAAATAGGACTATTTTCCTTAATATCACATTGCTTGGAGGTATCACAATTTGACTATTCTTTTCCAATGAAGATTGTTTCCAAATGTTTAGAATTATAATACTTACATTCCTAGTACAGATCACTTTGAGAGTTTTGAAATATTTATGCATACTGACACTTTTTTAAATCTAAACTTTGTACATTCAGTTTTATTTTTGTAAATTTTAAAGAAATGGTTGGTCAGTCTCATAGAGCAGCTGTGGCTCTGAGTAAATACCAGAATTAAGGCCCATCCCAGATGACCACCCTTGAATACTCCAATGGAGAGGTGCTTTCAGTGTATGAAGAAAAGGAAATGAAACATATTATTCATGATGTGCTTCGGCAGTTCAATTTCAGTTCAAAAGAAGGAAGTGATGAACGCTGTGTAGTAGTTGCTTTTGAAGAGTAGACAAATTCCCTGTGACAAAACTTCCTCCTTCTCTCTTCTTTATACTCTCCCCGCTTTGATGTTAGGTAGGTGACAGTTCCCTGTGACAAAACTTCCTCCTTCTCTCTTCTTTATACCCCCCCCCTTTTGATGTTAGGTAGGTGACAGTTTAATCCAGCTGTTACCAGGGACCACAGTAATGTGACAGTTCTGTCTACCATCCCTTCTCCCAGCACTGCATGGAGTGTAGTCATAAAGCCATGACTTTACTTTTTCCCTCTAAAGATCGACTTTTGGGACTGACGTGGCTCAAGCCATAAGTGCTTGCCTAACAGCAAGAAGTCCTGTGTTCACACCCCATCCTGCCTCCCACACACACAAAAATAATTGACTTTTTACTATTTTTAAGTTTTCTTTCAGCACCATGAATGCTCATTGTCCAGCCATGGCAACCATTAATATTTTCCCATATCTTTTCATTTATTCTGCCTCTCCCCTTTTCTGCTAAGTATTTTTTTGGGAGAGGGATGCTGGGGATCAAACCTAGGATCTTGCACATGCTAGGCAAGCACTCTACCACTGAGCGACACCCCCAGCTTTGTTTTTATTTTTGAGACAGGGTCTCACTGTGTAGCACAGACTGGCCTCAGACTCTTGATTTTCCCGCCTCAGCCTTCTGAGTACTGGGATTATACACATGTACACCAGGCCTTGTTTATTACAACTCTTTTCGTTTCCTTCAAACTAAAATAAACACTTTGTGTGTGTTTGTGTGTGTCTTCATACAATTCCTGTGGAGGAAGCTGTATCAGTTGCACCAAGAATATCTGCAGACTGGGTTCAACTAATGACTTCCTCCTGATGTCAGTAACCTTGAGCCGCTATCCCTTCCATGTGCTGTAGACTTGAGGTTGGCCCTAAAGGTATGATGAGACTCAAGGTCGTTATTATTGATTCACATGTTTTGCTTTTCCCAGACATTGGTGCACAGAGCATATTTTATCCTACTGGGAGACCTAATATCCAGTTGTCTCACATGTACTCAAGCTGAGATCCATCCATGAGTTTAGATGGCAGCAAACCTCATCCCTCCATTTTAAAGGTCTTCCTCAACTTTCTACCCAATGGTTTTATCGTCCACGGAGGACCGTAGCCAGAGTCAGTTACATCTTACTAGAAGCTGTTCATTTCAGTGGAACTTGGATAATGGCTTTGGTTCAGAGAGGTTTATTGGCATTCATTCCATGGAAATCTTCTCAGTGCAAACTTGCATGAATGCCTCAGCTGATTAAAACGGTTTGAATAAGAGAAGCATACAAGATAACAAATTCCAAATAGTATAAAGAAGTACAAAATAGGAAGTAAAAGCCCCTTCACTTTCACCCCCAGCCAGCCAAATTTCACTGGACTGACAGGTTTTTCTGGTTTTTGTTTGTTTTTTTTTTTTTTACTGTAAAAAAATTATTTTTAACAAGATTTTTCAGTGTCTCAAACTTGTTGTTTTGAGATAATTGTAGATCACATGCAGTTGTAAGAACTAATACAGAAAGATGTTATATACCCTTTTTCTTTTTTTCCCAAATGATAACATCTTGCAAAACCATAGTACAGTATCACAACTAGGATGTTGACATTGATACACATGACAGGGAACACGAACAGCTAGATTTTAAAATAACTTTTGTCATCTTCTTTGTCTGGGGTTCTCAATTAGAGAGTCTGGCTGTGAGAGTTGGGCACCTAAATGTCAGGATGAGGTCATGGGAATAGTGTTTCTCTATTGCTCAGTTGCATTCATCTGTCTTGCTCACTCTCTGATGCTTGCCACAGGCATCTTTTTCCCCTTTGGCATATTTCTACTTGAAGTCATCAAAACTGTAGGATGAAAACTGCTGATGTAGTTAATACCCCCAGATAAATTTATGATATTAGTGCTTGCCACAGAAAACTCTATAAATTGTCTACTTCAACAGGTGAGAGAGAGATTGTTTAATAAATTGGGACTCTACAGTTCTTTGCATTTCCAGTTTTTGGCTGAACAAAGACTCATGGGATTTTGTTCTGACAGTTAATGGAAAAAGGAAATTTTCCCAAGAGGCACAGAAGAAATGATGGAACTGTCAAAGTCACACCTACCCACATTCTGCCAGCATCTGAGTGACACATTTCCTCTTAGGCTTAGTATAGAAGTAATTGAAAAGAAGTATAATTACAAGACTAAATAAAAATGACACCTTGGGATTTTCCTTTGTCATGACATGTCAACTCTAAAAAATGAAATTTGGAATACAATAATCACATGTAGGTTAACTCACATAATTGCCCCTCATTTTATACATTCAGTTGCAGGGTTTGAATTTTTGTTTTTTTAGACAAAGTCTTGAAGTATAGCCCAAGCTGGCCTGAGTTTTGGAACCTCCTTCCCCAGTCTCCCAAATGTTGGGATACAGGCATGTGCATCCACGTATTCAGTTATATTTTCTTTAAAAAAATTTTTTTTCCTCCTCCCTTATGAAAGGAGAATTGTATAGAACTACCACTGGAGTCATTTAAATATTTGGCTATGTTGTTTCTTGGTGGCTTAGAAAAGTTTAATTATGTGTATATTTATATGCATAATTGTTTGTATCTATGCTAGTTTTCTCAGGGTTGCTTTATGAGGTGTCCGTCTCTTTTCAAGGAACAACCACTATATCACTAGCCCTGTGAGAATGTCCATTTATGTGATTATCATGACTCCAGTTTTCAAGAGAAACTGTAAATTGAGGTTTTTTTATTTTGTTTTGTTTGCAGTACTAGGGTTTGAACTCAGAGCCTCAAGCTTGCTAGGTAGGTGCTCCACTGCTTGATCCACTTCACCAGCCCTTTTTTTGTGTTGACTATTTTCAAGATATGGTCTCATGAACCATTTTACTGGACTCACTTCAAACTATGTTCCTCTTGACCTCTGCTTCCGGAGAAGCTAGGATTACAGAAGTGAGCCTCTGGCACTCAAAGTAAATTGAATTTTTTTTATGAAAGCCTTTAATTTTTGTTTACTGTCATTAACATGAATATGGAATGGTTGTTAGGCTCAGTCCCTAGCTAAGTGACTTACATCTAAACAAAATACTGTCAGCATAAACCTCAGATTCTGCCAGAAGCATTTTGTTTACATTTTTTCATTCATCGGTACACATGTCCGAAGTGAGTGATATTATTTCCTCTGCAAATTATTGCATGACATTTATTTGGGGGTAGCTTGACAAACGTTTGAATGCCAGGACAAGTTTGAATGGGTAGATGGATAAATGACTACAAAAAAATAGTATGATTGAATGAAGTGTTTCCTAAGGGCTTTGTATCCTAATTCAGTATATGAAACATTTTGATCAATGATGTTCAGAAGATTAAAACAGGAATCGAGGAAATCACCTGAAACAATAGATACTGTTTAATAATTCAGTCTTTATTATTTAGCTTTTCCTTCTCTCCAAAAAAAAAACAGAGAATAAAATATATAACTTGGAGTTTGTATTAGACTCTCTCGATCCTTAGTAAGAATTAATTGCACTTACATCTTCGTCTTTTCTTTACCAGGTGATGGCTGTGGGCACATAGTGACCTATCAGGATAGTGGCACAATGACATCCAAGAATTATCCAGGGACTTACCCCAATTACACTATTTGTGAAAAGACTATCACAGTCCCAAAGGGGAAGAGACTGATTCTGAAGTTGGGGATTTGAATATTGAATCCCAGACCTGTACTTCTGACTATCTTCTCTTCACCAGCTCTTCAGATAAGTATGGTAAGAAAATTGTGTGTTTCTGTGAGCATGAAAACATTTGAGATATGAGGACAAGGGAGAGTGGTATGCTAATTAACTATAGCCTAGGAAGATTGGCAGAGAAACTTGCTTTGTGTAAATTCTCAGGGTAGCTTAGATGAATATGCTTGCTTCTTAAACTACAAAGACTATCTAAGGAGATGGTAGAAATTAGCTTTTTGTATGTGTCTGAAGCTTTGTTTGAGTTTCAGTCTTGATGAGAAGAGAATTGGAGAATGTGACATTTGGCTAAAACATCTACGAATCATCTTCATTTTACCGTCTATTGAATAGTGACTACTAAGTGTGTCAGATACGCTGAAGAACTGGTAAACAGCAGTGAAAAAACAAAATTCCTTTCAATAAGCTTATACCTGTGAATAGAGGAAGGAAGAAAATAAATGCATCTGTAATATGACCATGGTGAGAAAGAAGAATAAGGAAAAATAAAGCACCCCAAGGTGATGTGGAGCCTGTTTTAGAGTCTGTTTATGCTGTTTCATATAGGATGGTGAGGGAGGCCTCTCCAACAAGGGGACATTTGAACAGAAACCGGAATGAGGTGAGGGAATATACAGGGGTGTTATACAGGTGTGACAGGGGTTGGAGTTTTCTGAAGAAGGTTGGCAAGTATAAAAGACAGTGTCCTGAATAGCCTTTGAAATTTAGTCTTTTATGCTTTGAATTATGATACTAGTGTCTGGGAGCCAGGAATTACCATAACAGTGATGCTTTGATCATAAGCTTGAGAAAACATTGTGGAGTTACACAATGTCAAAATCCCATATACACCATTCTTTGAGTTTAGAGATTTTTCTAAAATTCTATATACATCCAACTCCAAAAATGATACAGGCATGAGGTAACCTCCCCTCCGTCCATTAGCAACACAATCAGGTTCTCAAACACACTCAGCTATCTACCTGTCTTTATCCTTGTGTCCAAAGTTGCCTCCTAGCTCCTCATACCTCCTCCACAGTCTACAGCCCAGAACACCCCGAGACAACTCAGAGGTCTAAACCTATCTAACCCCATGCAAAAAGATCTAATACTATTTGTTTGCTTTTTTTTTTTTTAGACAGTCTTGCTATGATAACTCAGGCTAGCCTGGAATTCTCCATTTTCCTGTCTCAGCCTCCTGAGTGCTGGGATTATAGGCATGAACCATCAAGCCTTGCTCACATTCAAAATTTTTTTTTTAAATCCTTGGAAATAGTTTGTCTATTTTAATAATGGTCAAATTACGTTGACAGAGTCGAGGTGGTAGTTTTCACGTGATGGGTTGCAGCTTTTTAACTGGAATGTGACTCAAGTGGAAAAAGGGGATATTTAAGTCCCCTGGAGGAATTTGAAATGTATATTAACTTGGGGGGCCCTTTGTCAGGTAATATTTCATAAGCTAGGAGATTTCATTTAGTTTCCAAGGTGGGGATCAAGTGTCAGTGCATCAGTATAAAATGTGAGGCAAACTACTGCACCACCAGAAATGGCCTTTCCATGCTGACCTCTTTAGAGAAGTAGCTACCTTGCCCCAAAGATGAAGAGTTAATTCCACCTGTTTGCAGAGCAGTGGAGGAACCATCTCTGTTGCTTTGTTGAGGTGAGAGCAGCTCCTAAGAGGAATACATCCTCTCAAAGCAAACCTTGGACAAACAGATAAACGGACCTGATTTTCCCATACCCGGGAGTTTTTCTTATCAATTTTGTGAGGTAAATCCCCAAATATACAAAAAGGAGGAAAAGAATGGGTTAACTACATATCTCAAGCTGGGCTTGAAAATGACTTGCTGTTTCAGGATTACTGTCCGCCATGTTTCTAGTTCTTTTTTGTTGCTGTTGTTTTGTTTCATGAGACAGGGTTTCACTATGTAATCCAGGTTGGCCTCAAACTCACTATTATAACACAAATGGGCCTCAAACTTGCAATCTTCTGGCCTCAGCCTTCTGAGTGCTGAGTCTATAGGCATGAACCACGACACCCATTTTAAGACTTACACTTTTCACTAGGAAATGGGTAATGAATTGCAATTCATTCATAGCAAAAACACAACCAAAATTTTATTTCTCTTTAAAATTTTTCTATACAAAATTGTGTTTGTCTTTTAAAAAGAGAATGTATGTTCATAGAAGTGAGCATGTTCAGTGCCGAATGAGTGCCTAGTGGAGGCTTTACCATTACACACATTTTCTAGAATCCCACATCCACCATTGAGCAGACATTATTAATTTCTTTCTACAGATAATTAGAGGCACAGTGAGCTTAGGTGACATGCCCAAGATCACACAGCTAGCTCTTAACTAAGGACTGGGAGAAAGATTTATTCCTTTGTCTTTGTAGCTCCAAGACATCTATTTCCTTTGCACCTCTTTCCCAGTTCCACTACTCAAAGAAAGCCATTAAATTATTACCTTTCTCAAATGAACTAGTCCTTTATAGTATCATGTAGCAATTTTGTCTAAAACTCAAGGAGTAAGTAGTAGTATCTTTAGTTGGAGATGTTATTAAGATAAAATGTTTAATGATACTCAGAGTTTCTCTCTTTTGTGGCTACTTTAAAGATTTCCTTTGACCAAAAACATTAACCAGACTTATATTTTAACTGAGTTAAAATAGTCCCCTGCATTCTTCAAGGAATGCAGAAGGTGGAAAAGGCAGACAAAAAACTTTTCTTTCTGTGCCCTGGGGAGTCCTGTGTGGCTGTTGCACACAGGATGTGTGGGAGGCACTTTAGCAGTTATGTGGCCACAGAATCTGCATGATGGCAGAGGTTTGACCCTACTGCCAGTGCAGGGTCCCAGGATCCACAGCTATATTGGAGAATTATTTCCCACTGATGTGCAGCAAGGAGGGATTCTTCCTATAATTCTGGTAGATGGTGGCTCTAACAATTATGTGTGTGGCTGAAACAGCTGAGCAGTTTCAGTTTATCCAGCTTGATACTTTTCATTAACCACCTAATTGTTAAAACTCACTGGCTAGAGACTTTAAGACTCAAAACTATGAGAATTTTGAATGTAGAATTGATGTTTTGAAAAAGAATAATGTTTCCTGGCATTAGTATTTATAAGCATTGCCAAGAGTGGGCATGCTTGGAATGTGATTAAATTGACATTGTAAGGATGCTGAATTAATACAGTTTTCATCATTCTGCAATTAATTTTCAGTGGTTCATCCCATGGCAATTTTGTTTTAAATGTTTGGTTCAGTTACTTTGGCCCTTTAAAAAATCCACATTATTGGTAGTAGTGTGAACTGTAAATAAGTGTAAAAACCCACACCAGTGTTCACAGTAATCAGGCAATATGCACTTGATCTCATTGGTGTTAAAAGGCCTGATATAGACAAGATGGAATTATTATTCTTCTGTTTGTCCTGTAATATAATTATGGCTGATCTTTCAGACTCAAGCACTGATGAGAAGAATGTACTTTTATGGCTGAGTTAAGAAAGTGACTTTTCAAAATACCCTTGAAACCAGGCATGATAGTACTCTCCTGTAAACCCAGCACTTGGGAGGCTGAGGCCTTGGGTTCAAGGCCAGCCTGGGCTATATAGTGAGACCCTATCTAAAAATAAAACAAACGAAAACTGCAAAATACCTTTGAAATAGTTAAAAAGCAGAACAAGTGATGAATTTAAATGTGTCAACCTAACTTTAGAAATAAGGAAAAAAGTTATTAAAGATAGTTTTAAACATCAATTTAACTTGTAAATTTATAAAAAAAATTTGGATTAAGTCAACACTGAGTTTCAATATCATGGGTGCCATTATCTTGATAATAAAATGTTTAAGAAGAATCATACTTTGCTTAGGTACACATTATTTTTGCTATAATTAAGAGAATTCACGATTCTTATTTAAGATATCAAATAACTGAGACTCCTGTCAAAAGAAACACTAATGTCCCTTTTTCAGTCTGGGATCCAGTTGAGGATCATGAAGCATTTAGTTATCATGCTGCCTCAGTCTCCTTTAATCCGGGGTAGTTCCTTGGTCTGTCTCAACCTTTTGTAAAGTTTAAAGAGTTTTGTATAATGTCTGTCAATTTGGTTTGATGTTCTCTCTCTCTTTTTGATGTTACTGAAGTTTGAACTCAGAGCCTCATGCTTGCTAGGCAGGTGCTCTTACTGCTTGAGCCCCTCCACTAGCCCTTTTTTTTTAGGGTTTCCCAAACTATTTCACTGGGGGCTGGCCTTGACCCATGATCTTCCTGATCTCTGCTTCCTGAGTAGCTAGGATTGCACGTGTGAACCACCGGCTCCTGACCTATTGGATATTTTTGACATAAGGTCTCACTTTATGCCTGGGCTGGCCTGAACTGCGAGCCTCTTATTTGTGCTTCCCCGTGTGGTTGGACATGACAGACATGTGTCCCACACCCAGCCATTGGCTGGGATAGGGGTCTTAGTGAACTTTTTGCCCAGATGGCCTTGAGGTGGGATTCCCCTGGGCTCTACCTTCCAAGTAACTAGTATTACAGGCATGAACCACCGTGCCCAATCTGTAAAAGACTTTTTTATAACAGTTTTCAACATCCACAATTTCGAGGTCATAGATATTCCCAGAATGAAAATTAAATCTACATTAAATTTCTTTGCTTTCCTTTTTACTGTCTTGTATGGTGGGCCCTTTTTTGCATAAAAACTACATTGATTGATTTTAGGTTATTTCAAGCTGAAGTACCTTCCCCTAAATTCTTTGTAGACCATCAATAAATCAATGTAATATGAAACTTGGATAGGACTCAAATACAAAGTGATGCCTTCTTTTCAGAAAAAGGTTTTGGAAAACCAGCTCATCTTATATTTAGGCACTTAAGATAATAAAAACTTGATTAAGGTACCCAATTCTATTCTAGGAATGAATACATTTACTTGTGGTGGTGGGATTTGAACTCAGAGCTTTGTGTTTGCTAGGCAGATTCTCAACTACTTTAGCCATGCCTCCAGCCCTTTTTGTTTTGGTTGTTTTTGAGATAGGGTCTCACTTTTTGCCTGGGAAGCCTGGATCATGGTCCTTGTATTTGTGCTTCCCACAGTAGCTGAGATGATAGGCTTATGCCACCATGCCCAGCCATTTCTGTTGAGATGGGGTCTTGTG